AAAAAAAAAAAAGGATTCTGAAATTTAAAGTCCTTTTTTCCTGTTAAGTTGTTTAAAAAAAAACTTAAGCCCAGCTAATTCCAAGTTACTGTTATGCTAAAAACTGCCCCTTTACTGAATGAAACCACAGACTTCTAGAGGAGAAGGATCCTTGTGTAGTAACTGACTCATATTACAGATCCAAAAATTGGGGCACAGAGAGATTGGTTAATTTGTCTAAGATCACATAGGTAAGCTGGGCTAAGACTGAAACCCAGGTTTTCTGACTGCTATCCCAGTTCTCTTCCCATTATTTGACTTTTTCATAATTTTATACACTATAATTGGAACATTAATTTTTTTTCAATTTTTTATTGTGAGAAAATATATATAGCATTAAACTATTAAATTTCAAAAAATCTTTTTGAATAGATGAATAATGCATGAATATGAAACAAAAATCAAAAGGTACACAAAGGTTTGTAGTGACAAGCCTCGTTCCCACTCCTAACTGCCGTCCCTCCCAGGTCCCCCCCTTGCAGCCAGCCACTATAAAGAATAAGGCATTTTAAGTAGACTGCTTTGGTCTAATAACATGCAGAAACTGACATTGTGTTGCATTATTCTTTATGAGTTGCAGTCTGGCCTAAGTTTAGAGAATGCCCAACAGAGAAAAAACATAAGCTGTGGAATTGGAATATGGAGAGATTTATGAATTGGATTTGAAAATTACCCAAAGTCTATGTTATTTCCAGTAATAAAAGTGAGGGTTTTTTTACAGCAGTAGTTTATTACTCAGATATTGCCTTTTGTACAAATAGCTTAAAGTATAAGAGCTCTCATGTATCCTTGTGACAGGTAAATCCCTGTTTGAGTATTGCATAACTGCATTCAACTGCTTTAAAATCAATTGCACATTGGCTAAAACAAAGAACCATGCTGATGTTTGAATGAACATCCTCAGGCTCTGAAACTGTCCGTACAGTACTCGGCATTGATCTGCTTCTCTAGGGTCTCTGAGCCTGCGCGGCCCACCTTGATGAAACCTCAATGTCCTGTCCTTGAGTTGGGCACACTCAGACATTTGGATGAAGCGAAGTGGGCTCTAGGAATACACGTGCCACTTTGACCACACTGCCACTGTTGAGGTTGCAGCAGCCTCTTTCTTACTGGTGCCCAGACCATGTAGCCTTAAAAGTATAGGATGAGTCCTGGGTTGATGAAAACCTACAGGCTAATACCCAGCAGGCCACACAGCTGGGGCTTGGCCCTGTTTAAAAGGCCAGTCTCCTCAGGTAAAAGGAAGAAAGAAGGAAAGGACAAAATTTCTCTTTTCTGATACCTCTGGGTGAGGAATACTGGTAACAGGTTTCTCCTGGCAGGGAGAAGGGTGTAGGAAGTTTGTAGGTGGTTTAGAGAAAGAGATGACAGTTCAAGGAAGGGATAGCGAGGGGAAAGGTGAGATGAGAGGAAACTGTCTTTTTGAGAGAGTAGTTCTTTGGCTTTTCTACTGTTAGACTTGAGAGTGTGGTTCCATTTTCTGCTTAAGACAATGTTATTCAAATTTCTCTGACCCTGAGACTCCTCCTGAAGGGCTTGGTAAAAGTTGGAATTCCCTGGCCTCTGTCCTAAAGATGCTGAGTCAGCGAGTCTGAGTGGCATCTCGGAACACAGGGGTAGTTTTAACAAGCTCTCCAGGTGGTTGTGGGGATAACTCCTGGATCAAGCCTGGCACTCACACTTTCATCAGTTCTAGATATTCTGCCCCAGATTTGTCCTCTGGGTAAATCTAAATATGAAAAGTACTGGAAACCTTAACTGCAGATGGCTCATTCATATCCAAATTAGAGCTTTATTTCAAAAAGGATGTCTATTCTGTCTCACCTGTTATTAATACCATGGTGTTGATTTTAAAAATGTATCTGATTGTTTAAAACAATGGAATATGAATGCATATTGACTATTAAGTGCTGTTAATCTCTGCAAATAGACCCACTGAGTGGCCTTTTGTTTGTTGGCCCTGCCATTATTGATATTTTTCACCTGAACTAATAGTCTGTGATTTTAAAAAAATTTATTCAGAATTGAGAATGTCTGATAACTAAAAATAACTTTTTTTCTGTTGAGACAGAGTCTTATTCTGTCCCCCTGAGTAGAGAGAGTGTCATGGCATCGTCATAGCTCATAGCAACCTCAAACTTGTTGGTGATCCTCTTACCTCAACCTCCCGAGTACTGGAACTGCAGACGTGTGGCACTATGCCTAGCTTGTTTTTCTATTTTTAATAGAAATGGGCTCTCGCTGTTGCTTAGGCTAGTCTTGAACTACTGAGGTCAAGCAGTCCACCCACCTTGGCCTCCCAGAATATTAGGATTTTTTTTTTAAATAAATAGTTATAAATTTGATAATGAAGAATTATCATCTTTGTTTTATCATCACAGCCATTTTCACAATTTAAAATGTAATGAAAGTTTTCAATGATTGTGGTTTTTTTTTTCTTCAGATAGGAATCAGGGCTTTAGCCTTCTCAACTCATTGGCTGGAACAAACCGTAGCACTGGGTCAACAGAGACACGTCACTCAGAGGTAAAGATTTTTCTTTGATCTTTTTTCTTCTTTGGTTTTAATTTCTCCTTGTTATTATGAATCTTTACACATGTATCATCTTTTCCTTTCCATTTAAAAGGTGGCACAGAATTTTAAAAATAGATGAAAGGAGATTCTAAAACAGCCCTATTATGCCTGGCACCTGTTGAGAGACGGCTAGAAGGATCAAGATATTTGTAGTTTGGGTTGTTCTGTGCTTTTTTGCTAAAGTGTTTCTTAAAATATGCTAGGATTTCCTTGGGGCATAAACTTGCTTCTAGGTCTTTAAATAGAAAATAAAATCGATGGTGCTTTTTTAGTATAAAAAGCCTATACAAATCCATGGCAAGGTCCCTGCCCTCAGTGAGCTTCTGATTTCAACCCTTTGTCCTCAGGAAGTTTGGGCCAGGGTTACCTTGGTCAGCATGCTGGGAGCAAGAGCAAATTATTCAGTGCCGCATTGTCTTTCTGGGGATCTTTTTATCAGCCTCTGAGATGTTTATGTTATGATTGTGTACATTTTTACATTTTGAGTATAACATGTTCTTGAATGAAACAAACAAAAACTTGTTGTTTTTGAGATAGAGTCTCACTTTGTTGCCCTGGGTAGAGTGCCGTGGCATCATAGCTTACAGCAACCTCAAACTCTTGGGGTTAAGTGATCCTTCTTGCCTTAGTCTCCTGAGTAAGTGGGACTATAGGCACCCACCACAATGCCCGGCTATTTTTAGAGATGGGGTCTCATTCTTGCTTAGGCTGGTCTCGAACTCCTGAGCGCAAGCAATCCAAAAACCATGTTTTAATAGTCTTTAGCAGAATCATACCACTTTCTACTTCTTCTTGAGGGAAAATACTCCTGGGTTAGTGAAGTTTTAGCCTTTTAATTTTTTTCATGTGATTTTACTCCATCTTTTTTCTTTCTTTGCCTCCAGCTCCTATCATTGCTTCTCTAAGACCAACCAGGGAGTGAAAGTGTGAACCTTTCTGGATTTAGTTCTGAAGTAGTCTATGTTAAATTGTTGCTTACGTGTATTTTCCTCAAACAGCAACCCCATTTGTCAGCTGCAGATAGGACCGAATCTCCTTCCAGTCATCGGGGAGGTGCATCTAATACAACAGATGCCCAAGATGATAGCATCATGGGTAAGTTCCTCCTTTGGCTACAAGCTTTGTGGAACTTGGAATAGATGTCTGGGAAGAAATTATTGAAGGGGGGAAACTGACTTGAAATGCTGAGAAGGGAAGAAAATTGATAGTGTATCAAAAATGAATGTGAGCCTTGCCAATGGCTGTCAGAAAAAGGGAGAAGAATAAATACATAACAAACATGTGGCCGCCATTTTCTTTTTGATTCTCTTAATTCAAATCATCTTAGCTAAGACAGAACCAAGTGGTGAAGCCAATTTATGGCTCTGTATTCTGCAGTTTTTTTCATAGTAGATAACAGTAGTCAGAATTGATGGTGACAAATTTATAAATCCTTTCTCATCCTTTTAAAGTTCTTTTATATCCACTTTCTTATTTGATTATGAAGTTTGGCAGAGAAGGTATTTTATGGAGATGAAGCTGAAGCCCAGAGAAGTGTAATGAATTGTCTAAGGATATCTAACAAGAAGAGCCTGGAACAGAAACTGGAGTCTAATCTACTGTCCAAAGCCAGAACGCCAAGGAGTTTAGTTGACAATAACTATAGATGTTGTTGGGGGAACTACTGATGTCACAGAGGGTTCAATGAATTTTCAAAACTATTTTTTTCTGATTATAAGTTAATCCATATAGAAAACTCAAAGTGATTAGTTTATTAGTTCTTTTAGAATAGAAACATATTAAGATGGAAAAGTTATGTATAATCTTTTTATAGTTTATTTAGCCTTCTCAATTGGATCCTTCCTACTGGCTTTTATTTATTTGTTTTTGTTTTTGAGACAGAGTCTCATTTTGGTACCCTTGGTCAAGTTCTGTGGCATCATAGCTCACAGCAACCTCAAACTCTTGAGGTCAAGTGATTCTCTTGCCTCAGCCTCCCAAGGAGCTGGGACTACAAGCACCCACCACAACACCTGGCTGTTTTTTTAGGGGTTTTCTCTTGTTCAGGCTGTTCTTGAACTCCTGAGCGTAAGCTGCCTTGACCTTTCAAAGTGCTAAGATTATAGGCGTGAGCCACTGCACCCAGCTTCCCTATTGGCTTTTAAACCTGCTAAAATTGCTGCCATTAAAACAAGCCATTAATCACACTGAAAGGGGTGGGGAAGACATGAACTAACCTAAGCAACTTTGGAAAACAGTACTCAGACTGAATACCGTAAGTTTAAAAACAAAAAGAACTGAACATAAAAACTGAACTCTATTTAATAAATTTGTTTCTCACAGCGATATGGGTTAGCATTTATGGAAATTACATAGATAATTCCTAATCCTAATTACTTTATACAGTTGTTGTCAGTAGCAGATGTGAAAATACTTGTATAGTAAAATACGGTATAAACCTTAGTCATTTATTGTTGAATCAGTGTACCATAGTAGATTGAGTTTGACCTCCACAGTTGGAAACACCTAAGTCTAGACCCATTTACTGGCTGTGACCTTGAGCAACTTCAACTCTGAGCTTTAGTTTTCTTGTTTTTAAAGTGGAAATAGTATACCTTACCTTATAACAATGTTGTTAAGAGTAAAATAAGTTGCTATTCATTTGTGAATAGCAGCCAGGCAGAGTGAGGCACACGTTGGGCATTAAGTCATTAGTGACTTTCATCAAAGCTGGCATAGCATCCATTGCCTTGGATTCTGTGGATTTAGCACATATATAAATAATGTGACAAATAATGTGACAAATCCTTATTTCAGATCCCATGTTAGATCTGGATATTCAGGAATTAGCCAGTCTTACTACTGGAGGAGGAGATTTGGAGAATTTTGAAAGACTATTTTCAAAGTTAAAGGAAATGAAAGGTAATCAGATCCATTGTTTAACACATTCCCATGTTGATGCTCATCTTTTTTATGTAATAGCATTTTATTTTGTAATCCTGGATTGGATTCTGTGCTCTGATCTTTGCTGTCTTGAGAAACTTAGCTGCTTGGGGGACTGTCATCCTCTGTTGGTAAAAAGTTCCCTGGGGAAAATTTTTCTTTCTTCGTTTTCTTCTTCTGTATCTGTTTCTTTCAATGTGTCTGATAAGGTGGAATCTGTAAGATCCCTACCAATTTACTCACATCATTTCCATATGGAATATTTGGAAGACTTAAATCTCCTAATAGCTGTAATGACTACACCATAAAAATGTCTTTGAAACCATTTCCCATCTTCTAGTCTTAAAAAGAATGCCCATACACTCCAGATTCTCTTGTTCTATTAGACAAATTTCCTAAGATATATTTTCTCCCTAGACAAGGCTGCGACACTTCCTCACGAGCAAAGAAAGTTGCATGCAGAAAAGGTGAGACAATCAGTCAGGTATTTATTGAGTACATACAAAAGGTCCAGTGCTATTATTATTACATGTCACAGTTGTATACTAAAGTGTTGTAGTGTGAGCTTTTTATTGGATATTAACTTATAACTAATTAAATGTTTATAAAATAACAATATAGTTGCTGCAGTCAAACCAAGATTTTTCAGATATGTGTTGAGGGATGTGGAACTTCATTGAGACTTAGAAAGTTTGCCTTCTTGACCACTAGGCCAGAAACAACTCTTAGTTGTTTGTTTTGTTACTTTGTATCAGCAATGAATACATGTTCTTGGCAAGTTAACACATGGTTGATGATAATTCCATTACATGAATATGTCATAATTTATCCAGTACCCTTTTAGGCCAGATGCATTTTTTGCTTTTATAAATAGTGAAGCTGTTCATAGCTATGTACACAACTCTGATTATATCCTTACTATAAATTTCTAAACATGGAAGTCATGGTCAAATGGCGTTCAGGGGTTTTGATTTATGTTGATAGTAGGCCGCAGGGCAAAGTGTAGACTTTAGGTGAGTTCAAGGTATGACATAAGAAACAAGCTTAAATTTAGCTATTGCCTAAACTTTGTTGCATACTTCTCTCCACAGGTGGCCAAAGCATTCTGGATGGCTATTGGGGGAGACAGAGATGAAATTGAAGGCCTTTCTTCTGATGAAGAGCATTAAATTATTCTTACTAGGTTTGACGAACAAGGATTCTAGCTCTATCCAAGATAACTTCCATACTCAGTCTAGTCATATTTTGCTGAAATTCCCATTATCATGTTGGCTGTTTATAATTTTAGTTTTTAGTAGAGCATTAAGAAGTGATCTTTTTCCCCTCAGTATATTTTAAGAGAGTGAGGAGTATAATGATAATAACAAGTGATAATTTCTCATATATACCTTTTTTATTCTAGAAATGGGGGTAGAATGAGTTTCAGAGGTCTGTGTCATTTACCTAGATTGAAGAAGAAAACCACCAAGTCATTCCTGGTCAGCCTTTTAAGTAGCATTCTCTACATTCAAACTTGGTAGTACACATCAGGAGCTGGCTTATCTCAGCTTTCCTGGGTGTTTTAGGTTTTCTCCATTTAAGAAGCTTGTGGCTCAGAGTTACGCTTTTAGGGGGACAAAAAGAGGGAACTGCAAAATTGATTTGTGTTATAGATGGGATCAAAGTCAGTGGCCAACAGGTTAGTCTCTAATTAAAAAAAAAAACAAAACTTCTGTTCATTCGAAGTATGGTATCTGAGTTTATGCTAGGAAGAATTAAAAAACCAGTGTGAACTTTTATTTAGACCATTATAAATGTAGCAAAAGTTTCCTATTCTGGTGGGGATAAAACCCCTCTAAACTGAGTTATGGGGAAGAGGTGTGTGTGTGTAAGAAAGAATCTCAAAGGAATCCCTGTGTAGGTCATGGAAACAGTAAGTGATTATATACTGAGATTTTTGCATTAGCATTATCATGAAAAACTCTTCTTAGAGTTCTCCCCTGCTATTTGAGATGCCAGGGCTGTGTTGTCATACTTCATACCCTCAAAACAAGGCAAGTGTCCCCCTTCTTTCTCTTTCAAAGCCAAACAGAGATCACTGCCAAAAATAGCAATAGTAGGGGTGGTTGAGGATGTGAAATGTTAGGCAGTGGATTCCTGAGCACCTTGTTTTACTTGCAGCATTGATGGCCCCTCTGCAGCCTTCTAGAACTGGAGCCCTGTGGGAATACCCTTTGCTCTTTATCCTTTGTCTTGTTCCACTGGGTCAGCCCCAAATGCTGATTGCCAAAGAAAGTTTCTAAAGGAAGAGTGGAAAGTACAGCAAATAAAAATCCTTTTTTCTGTTTTTGTAGACACTTCCATAATGTATATCATTGTCCTTCACTGTTACAGTTACTGCCACAGCTCTAAGATGGCACTGACCAGGGTGGGTGGAAGGCACCAGCATGTGGGCTGAGAACTGCTTCTGGCTTAGTGCGGGCTCTGGAACAGTTCACACAACATGAAAGGAACACGGGGAAGGTCAGGAGCAGGAACAAAGTTCACACCCACTCCAGGTATCACTTATGAGAACTGAGGAACCTGATACAGATGGCAGAAGGAATGGAATGAGACAAGGGCCAGCTGGCCAGAGTGACTGTAGGGGCCTCTGAGCAACCCCTCAGTAACTAGGGTGCTTGGGAAGAGGCATTCTGGGGAACGCTGGCAGCTGTCTTGCTTAGGAACCTAATCTTGCCCCTCTTTTTTTGTAAACTGGTCAGAAGGACTTTCAGTCTATGGTTTACCACTATGGTTTACCACCACCTTGCCACCACCTGTTTTTTTTTTTTTTTTTTTTAAGACTGGTCAGAAGGACTTTCAGTCTATGGTTTACCACTATGGTTTACCACCACCTTGCCACCACCTGTTTTTTTTTTTTTTTTTTTTTGAGGCAACTGTATTAAGGAAGTTGGACCTAGGGTTACAAAATGGTTCTGTTAAACTGTGGAAAGATTTAGAAAATATATTGGGCCACGTGGTTAGGAAAAACAGACTAGAAAAAGCTATGAACTTGATTTTGTGAATTAAAGATGGGTGATTAAAATATGATTTATTTATACAGTCTGCTAATGTGTATTATTATGTTTTTGTTGTTTTTCAGTAGGGGAGGGCAAGTGGGAGAAGCTTTATGTCCTTCATTGAGTTAGACATACTTAGTGAGTAGTCTAGGAATTTATTAAGGTCACTACTTTGGAATCCACTATTCCTAGGTAGAATACATATCACCATGTTTTTAAGACCTCAGCTGTCTGGGGATATTGGTCTCTACTAGGGGATGCCTGAGATGAAAGTATCTAGTGGTACCTACTAAGACCCACATTAGGAAGAGTGATCATGAGCTAGCATTGCAGTAACAATCACAGTCAATATAAAAAGCAACCTATGTGCATGTCCCCATGAGTTATCATGGACCGTCCAGCTGGGATGTAAAATAAGAGACTTGGCTTTTTCTGTTGTGTATTTGTAAAGTATGGTTTGTGTCTGATGAATATGATGGCAAAGTTCAAAGATGAGTGTTGGAAGGTAGGGAGATACAAGAATAAACCTTTTTCCCCCTGTGAAAACCATGTGTTATATAATAATTTTAGAGTGATGAAGACATAGATATTTTTATAATTTTAAAATATGCTCGCCTGCCAGAGTATGAGAAGATTGACAGAACCAGTTTGCTTGCTCTCTATTTATAAAACTTGGCCACATCTGATTCAGAGGAGCTAGAGATTCAGGGAAGCTAGACTTAGATGGTTGAGTAATATGGGATGTGGTTCAAGGACCATAGAGCATGTCAGGCCATTCCTGCAAACGACTGTAACACGTGAAATGTGATAGATAGCTAATTTCATGTTATCACTGAGAAGAGGTAGGGATAAACATTTTTGCTGAGGCGTGTCAGATTTCCTGTAACCTTTGGCCAATCTCTGAACAATAGCCACTGAGAGAGCACGTGGAGAGTGCCTTGCCTTGCCTGCCATGGAAAAACAATCTTAGAAGAATCACTGTCTAAGGGTAAGATGAGAGCTCTGCAAACTATTCTGAGCTTGAGTGTTTGCTGATGCAAAGCTAAATTTAGCTGACATGTGTCCAGTGTGGTCAGAGGCTCTGATTCATTGAACATTTTGATTGATGGAGACAGTTTTAGTGGATGCTGTAAGAGTTAGACTTGCTCGTCACTGTCCCCTCCAAATTTTACAATGGGCAGTTTAGTTACAGCATTATATCATTACGTGCCAAATTTTAATAAGTGGAAAAAGGGTAAAAACTCTGGTCAAGTGTACTGACCCTAGTGCCGTATCACTATAAGGTTAGTTTGAAAATAACACCCTGTCAACTTTCCCATAATTTGTATGTCTCATAAAAGTAGAATGCTAATTATACAGGGTGAATTTCTCAGTTTCTCAGATTCCACTTGGAGTTTAGCGAACCATCCTTGCATATCTTTGGCAGGTAAGCTCTTACACAAAGTGTCTTCAAAATTTTCTAAGTTTCGTATTTTGGCATTGTTTACACTTGTCCTTAACGTCACAAGTCTTCCTCTTAACATAGGTGTCTGTATTCAGAGTCAGGTTCTAGCAGAGGATGTATCTTGCTCCATTCTAAGTTCTTCCTCTGACCTGCAGACTGAAGAATTAACAAAAGAAGCCGTAGCAATTGCACAATAGCTATTGGACTACTGAGCCCCATTCCAACTGTAGTGATTCACAGTTCTACTTTGTTTCATTTTAGAAAAATATTGATTCAAAACCTGGACAAATTGATTATTACTGCATCTTTGGAACACAGGTTTGGGGAGAAAAAATTTTTTTTCTTCTAAACCCTTTTTTATATATCTGTTGATAAGCCTAAATGCTCCCCACAACTGCAAAGCTGGGAGGCATTGATAACTAACTGCTCATGCCCACTTTACTGACTAGGAAAGCCTCCCTGTCTCTCTTCTAGGAAGGAAGGAACCAGTTACTACCTCTACCCAGGGGGTTTTAAGGCCATGATAATGTGGGCTTAGTAAAGCCTAGGGTAGGAATTCTATTGGAAATAGCAGTATAGTTAGGAGAAAGAACACTCTTTTAATCTGAAGTCCAAGGACAGCCTGCACCAGTGCTGCCTCCCCAGGAAGATTCTCAGGAAGTTAATGGCAAAGTTAGATGGCCTTAAGTTCCGTTACCCTGGTGAGAGCAGATGCAAGGATTCAAGGGCTAGCTAACATTGACTGTGAAGTTTGTTGGATTGCCAGACTCTGAGCTAGGTGTAGTGGAGGATACCAACTTGAGTAAGAACGTAGTTTATCTTTTCCAGAAGCTTAAAATCCAATTCAGGTGGGAGGAAGGGGAGAGCAAGACAAGATCATAAAAGAGAATGCCTGGCAGAATGTGAAAAGTGCTCTGACCAGTCTTAATTGCTGTGAGAGGAAGACAGTTTAAGTGTATCTTAGAGCAGTCATTCTCAAACTTGAAATCATACCAGAATCACCTGGAAGGTCCACCCTCAAGTTTCTGATCCAGTAGGTCTGGGGTGAAGCATGAGAATTTGCATTTCTAATCCCCCAGGAAATACAGATGCTGCAGGTTTGGGACCTTTGAGAACCACTGACTTCAGGGAAGTAGTGCTTGAATTGAGCAAGGATAAAGAATTTGGGCAGATAGGTAAGTGGAGGCAGCAAAGTTTTTAGTGGAAGTTGCGGCATAGGAATAAGAGCTAGAAAAACCTGGTAGTTACTTAAGAGAAATGGTGGTAGATAAGGGTGGATTTTGGAGAGGGCCTTGAAATACTGTAGTATGGAGTCTATACTGACTCTGGAGGTGACTGAGGAGCCAAAGGTTTTGAGCAGAGAAAGCATCTAAGCATAATTACAATCCAGGAAAGTTTGGCATCCATATTAGCAGTTGTGTTGAGAAGGATGCTGAGGCTGAGAATAGACACAGCACTTTGGTGGTTTTTGCCATGGATGGAGAAATTGAGAATGATGGTATTCCTTCAATCACGTGTAAGGATTTATTACAGGACAGTACAGTGGGAAGGGATACAAAGGTAACTGCTAAGGTAGGATTTACAAGACATGGGCAATGACCGAGTCACTTATTTAGCAAGAGTAAAGTGGCCAAAAGAAGCCAGGGATACCAGCATAAAATGGAAAACCACTCACAGAACACGTGGCAGAGCAGCCTGTACAGAGATGTTCAAGAAAGGCTTCCTGGAGATGCCTGAACTGAGTCACAAAGCATTACCGAGCGTTATCCAGGGGAACTGGCGGTATGTGCCTAAGGTGAGGAGCGGTGCTATAGGCTGGGGAAGAGAGGCTGATGTATAAGCAGAGGGAAGAGCACAAGAAGGGTGATCCACAAGGAACTGTGAATCACTGCGTTGCAGAGTGGCAGGAAGTGGCAGGAGGCAGAAGGGGCAAATGACGGGGTTGGGGGGCGGGGGACAAGCATTCCGAAGTAAAGACCTCAGAGTGTATGCTGTGGACTGGGTGACCAGTGAAGGTCTGATAGGTTACTAGGACAGTGTGAATGACACATTTACAGGAAAGCAGTCTGGAGGGTGGAGAACCATCAGGACACTAGTGCAGTTGTCCCAGGGCTAGGGACCTGCAGTACAGGGCAGTGCAAGCATGTACTAGAGCAGAGAGATGGGAGACACAGGCCTGCTAGCAGGTAGGGAACGAGGGAGTGGTGGACATCTGTGACTTCTGTGGATGTAGCTTAGGTAAGTGGTCATGCCAGAAATGGAGCTGGAGACCAGAGGAAAGGGTGATGGCTTATTAGGGAAATGGATTCTGGTTTTGAAATTGTCAGTTTGAGGTATTTGTGGACCCTCCAGGTGCCAGTAGCCAGCAGGCTGTTGGGCATGAGTCTGTAGCTCAGGATTGATGTCTGGGCTATAAGTACTAATTTGGGAGCCATTAGCATTTATGTGGCTTGAAATCACGTAGGGAGGAATGTTGAGAATGTACAGTGGTCTGGGAGCACTAACAAGGAAGTAGGGAGAAGAGGTATAGGCCCAAGAAAAAGAGCAGATCATAGTGGAGGGCCAAAGAGAACTGGGAAGCTCAGGGAGCGGGACCTTCCCAAAAGGAGCGTTGTCACAAAGGAGGGCAGCCGTGGTGGAGAGTGAATGAGCTGCTTATGACTTGGGAAATGGGAGGGGAGAGGCTGCTGATACAAACTGGGGAGGTGGGAACGGGCTGGCTCAGGTATGGTGGGCCTGTGAGGTTTTGGATCACGTCTAACAGGTAGCTGGACTTTGAAGTTGTGGTGCTTAAGGCATAGACTGGGTCAAAGGGGCCAATTTGAGAGTCTACTGTTGAGAAGTACAGACAACATAAA